GAGAAAACCCTCCTTCCCATCATTAATTTACTAAAACTCCTCCTCATCTGAGCAAGGCTGGACATGGGCAATAAAAGGGGCTGACAAAGTTGTGTTTGAGGATAAAAGCCCACTCAGTAATTTGATTTTCTCATTACGGCAGTGAGCTTGCAGACATGAATAAACGAGGGCAGAACACAACATAAATTCTTCAGGAAACCATCCATGGGCAAAAAAATGCTTTGGAACGGCTTTATGGCCTTCGGCTGTTGCACGGCAAATTTATCTGACAATGAGATGATTCTATTAGCAAGACTAATGGTTTGTTCTGCCCCATTAAAATAGCCAGTGTCATCTCTGAAGTCCTGGGTACACAGGGCCAGGAACCTGTGGGTTTAAAGCTAACCCTGTCCTGAACATGCCCAGTAATGCATTCTATTTTCTCCCTAGAATCAACTAACAAAATTAATTTGGGGTGTGGTGCCTGGCTTTTTTTTCCCCAACCAGAAATGAACTCTTATGGCTTGAAATATCTTCAGAAGTACGTTTCCTTGGTTTGTGATCCAAGATTACAAAATCTTGGCGCTATGAATTCGAAACATTAGGTGCATAACTAAAACTCCAGTTGATGGCAGTCTTCGAAACACCCACTGCGGGGTAATTGTGCGTGGCCAGGCTGTGGGGAGAAAATCAGACCAGTCAAGCAATACTGACAGTAATTAAGGATGTGGGGAAAATCGACAGAGAAGATGGGCCAGACTTCCTCCAGTTCATAAATTACTCCCTTTGGGAAGCCATCTAACTGTTGGGTGCCACTGGGGTGCCATTTAGTAAATTACCCTGATTGCCTGGTGCCTTAAACAGCCCCCAGGTGAAGGAAAGATTCAACCCAAGACCCAGCCCCAGTTCACTCTGGGAACTTCTGACTCCACCAGTAGAGCAGATTTCACACTGGGGAATACCTTGCAGCGCCTCTCCTTCTGATAGCATGCAGCTAGATGACTTTGTTTTTATGACTCTGGCTGTGGCCATCCATGCTGAAGCAATTGGTTGATTTGGTTAATTCAGTCACACACCCAGGTGGAAAATTGAGAAGCAAATATCCCATCAAGGCCCCCAGGTTGTTGAACTCCCTGCATTCTAGAGAACCGCGGGCTGCCTTTCAGCTTTTGCCCTGTCCTCTCCTCCAGGTGCCCACAACCATGGAGATGTTCTGCTGCTATGGTCCTGTGGTGCCCAATGGCTATGGTGCCTGCTACAACCCCCAGCCAGAGAGCATCCTTTTCTGCATCTCCAGCTTTCACGGCTGCAAAGAGACCTCTTCTACCAAGTTTGCAAAAGCTGTGGAAGAAAGCCTCATTGAAATGAGAGACCTCTGCAGCCCACCACAGTCAGCCATAGGCAAGCCACAGGCCACAAAAGAAAAAACAACAAGGCTTAGCCAGGGGCACCAACCTTGACTCCCACCACTAGGTTTCACCTACCCAAACCCAGCCTTCCGCAGCTGCCAAACCCTACCAACCCCCTGCTCCCAAATCTCACCCCAGTTTTCTGTAGCTCCCTGTCCTCAGGACTCAATACACAGTCCACACGGAGGCATCACACAAAGTTGGAGTGCTAGGAAAAAAGTGTCCCTCATTATGCATGTGAACTGTCATTCTTTATCAAGGTGCCCTCTGGTGTGTGCACAGGAAGTAGGCCCAGCTGGCCGGGGCGGCCTGGGTGAGATGGGGGAGTCCACACTGACTTCCCACCATGGCCTCGAAGTCTAACATTCCTGATTCCTTTCCCCAGCAGGACTGAGCGTATCCAGGTGATGATTTTTGTCAGACAAGTGAGTGACCCTGTTGCATGCAATGTACCTAAATGAATCATGAAGGAAGAGCTAACTCCAGATCATTACCTCTTTTCTTTTGGAGGTTAGCAGGGATTTGGCTCCAGAATCTAAGCAGTCTGATCATGGTGTTCAGGATGACTAGCACTGAGTCATACAGTCCTGCATGCTTCCTCTCTCTCTCTTTCTCTCTCTCTTTCTCTCTCTCTCTCTCTCACACACACACACACACACACACAAACACGCACACACACACAGCCCAAATTAAACCTCCCAAGGACACCTTTACTTTTCACCCTTTCACCCCCCAAGGGCAACCTTCTGTTGGCTTCAGAAAATCTGATCAGGTAATTCTGAAAAGGGAAAAATTTATTTGCAATTGCCCTGGAGTATTTGCTGCTTTCCACTACCTGGCCGGGAGAGGAGTTAGGGAGGGCGAGAGGACAGGTTCACCTCCTCAAGGGTCCTGCCGCTTGTGTTTTTACTGGTTGTTGTCCCACCTCCCTTCACATAAAACATGTCCCCAGTGGGGGACGGCTTCTTAACGGAGAAGAAAGAGTCCTACACGTTGTCATCGTAGAGATGCCAGGAGATACACTTCCCACTGGGCCATGTCTTTATGGGATGTCTAAAAGAACAAAGGGGTGGGAAAGCAGTCATAAAAATCAAAATTTCAAGTAGCTGAGGCCACCTGCTTCTGTCTGGGGAGGCACAGAGCTGGGTCCCGTCGCTGTGAGTTCCTCTCTGCTCCCTGCAGGGGGCTTCTAAAAAAGCCACCTCACCCCCATCCTGACTTGCTCCCCAGCATTTTGACCACTCCCCTCTGGCCCAGGGGCAGTCCTCTAGGCCACTGTACAAGTCCCCTCACACTTTGACCTCTATTGATGCCAGCTGGGCTGAGGTGGTGGCATGTATTTTGACCTTTGCTCAGCTCTTTGAAAACAGTTTTGAGCAGTGAGTTCCTAAGCCCCTGGTATTAGGTTGAGGATTTCTATTGAATGAACTGGGAGATGCTGGCACTACCCTTCAAAGCCCTTGGGCTATACAGCTCATGCTCCCTCCCCCAGACGCCCACCTTTTTGGTCCCATCAAGAAGTCACTGCTCAAGAGTCCCAGGAATGTCTGGGGAACTGCTGTTCACCTGCCGTAAGTTGCTCTAAAGCCACATGTCTGTCTCACCAAGTGACCGTAGCACAAAGTTCTCACCTGGTTTCCCCCGCCCAGGGATTTCTGATCAGTCAGAGAGCTCTGGTTTTAGGGTCAGGGAGCCCCACTGACTTTGGCCAAGAGACTTAAATGTCCAGAGACTAATTTCCTCCATTGTCAAATGAGGACATGAACGTCCTGACTTTGCAAGCCTGTGAGGATTAGGGATCATGTATGAAAGAGCCCTAATGCAAGCAGGTGGGCACTGGTGCCCACCATCAGGATGATGTGACCCCAGGGGGCATTGTTTGGGTGGTTTTGTTTTAAACTATTCACACCGATCTAACAGAATGAAGCTCACATCTATTATTCTCTAAGCATAGGGAGAGTACATTGACTATATACTGAGGTACCAGCCTTGCATTGTGAGGGCTTTGAGAAGTGTGCATGGCAGATGTTTGGCAGGAGGGAAACCCTCCTCTCTTTGAGGAATGGACTGGAAGCTGGTCTTCCCCCTCCAAGAGCACTCAGTGCACAGTCTTTATGCAAAGGCGATGCTGAGCCATGGCCATGGCCATCTCTTTGGGTACCCTGGTAAAAGAGACTATTTCAAGGGTCCCCAAAGAGGTGGGAATAAAACCTGAAACAGCCACTGGGGACAGTGATGCATACGGAAAATGTATGTGGCCACCTGACAATACTGCTAGTTGCCAAAATTATAAAGTTGATATTTGAGTTCTATTTTTATAAAAATAGTTCTAGATTTATGCCAATATATACATGTGTATTTATAGTCCTTCAGTTTTAAGTTATAGTTTTGTGCTTTAAAGAAATATATGTGTGACTAAAGAAATGTATATTGAAAGCATTATATTCAAATTATTTAAAGAGTGTAAGTCTGTATTCAATAAAAAGTCATGCCAAGAAAGATGGTGTTGGTTATTATTTCTACCCGAAAATTTTACAAGAATTTTCTTGTAAACTCTGAGCTGGGTCAGCAATTCATTTGCCTCTCTCCGAGGTCCTTCAGCAGCAGTGGGGATGTCTATAAGACACAGGGGCTGAGAGAAGAAAAGAGAGGGAACTTATTCTCTGCTAGGGCATGGCTGCCATCGTGGGGTGGAAATCTAGGGTAAAGAAGAGTGTCTCCAATTAAGCCTGCACACATATGTATGGTGAGAACAGAGTGCAGGGGAAAGCACCAGTCTTGGAGAAGGGATGCCTGCACTATAAGGGCTGGTCTGTCTCTAATTTGCTGGCTCTTGGGATGTCATTCAACTCTCTACCGTCTGGTTTCCTCATTGGTAAAATGCAGTTGTTGATATCAGCACTTCCCACTTGCAGGGTTGTGGCGAGGTGACATGAGATGTCATTGTTTGAAAACATAAGAAGTAACGTGGAAACCCAGCATTCTCATTGCAGGCTCACAGGCTCATGTGTGCATGGTTCCTTCATCATGCACAGTCCTCAAATACATTCCAAACTGCAAGATACCCTCTGTAGCTGCTATAATCCACAGAACCAGAACTGAGATTCTTCCAGTTGCTTTCCAATCAAAGCCTAAAAAGAATCTTAAAGTGTATGAATTTGTGTGATTCAGATTTATCCAAAAAGAAAATGGCTAAGAATATTCTAGAAGGAATGGAAGGATTACAAAGGAATAGTATCAAAGTAAGGTGTGCTCGTAATTATCACATATATCACATGTGACTCCAAAATAACCAGCTGTAGACAATAGACAGAAGAGTATGAACAGGCTAGGCAACCCTCAACATATAAAATAATGCCATTCTCTCCTTTTCTCTGAAGCTCCCATTGGGGGGCTGTTGAGTCATTCAAGTAAAAATGCAGGGAAGAGTCCCTTCCAGGTTCTAAGAACAAACAATTTTTTTAAATTACTCCTAAAATGTTCTCCTGGGGGATATGGAGGACCCCAGAGCTCTGCCCCCACCCTCTCTGGCCCCACCCACCAATGTGTGGCCACACCCACCCCCAAGACTTGAACAGTGGTTGCTTAGCAGTGTGTGTTGTGCCACTGGCCTGGCAGGTGGCCCACCATGCCCAAGAATGCAGTGGTCATCTTACGTTATGGACCTTACAGTGCAGTAGGACTGTCCGTGGAGCACCGCACCTTCCGCCTGGAAGGCCTGTATAGTAGGTAGTCATTTCCAGAGCGCCAACCACCCAACTTCTTATGACCAGGTGCAACCCAGCCTCTGAGCATCCTTGCAGACTGTGCACTCTACATCAACCCCCTTCCTTCTTTGGACCCAGACCAAGTACCACCTTCTCCAGAAAGTCTTCCCTGAGCCTCACCATCCTCCCAAGATGATTTAACATCTTCTAGTTTTCACTGTCTCAATGGGAAAAACATGTACTATGAGGCCACTGGATGCTTCCCCGCAAATTGCTATGGGACTACAGAGGACATGAAATCAATTCTGACCCAGCAATCAGGGAAGGTCTCCTGGAGGAAGGGGCATTTGAGTTCAAGTTTGAAAAGAAGGTGGGACTTCATTGGGCAGAGAAAGTTGACTGAGAAATTTCTGTCATAAGTAGTTCACTGTTATTTGGTTATGCTTAAAATTTTATGTAGTCTTGGCTAAGGACTCTGCCTAAATAACTGACTTATTTTCTTTTCCCCTCTGATGAGTCCCAACTATCTCTCACTGAATAACCCACCATTAGTTTATGTTCACTGAATGATTAGACTGAACAGCTATAGCATGTCTTTTAAAAATAAGGTGAGGGCCTCCCCAGTGGCGCAGCGGTTGAGCGCTGGGTTGTGAAGCTGCCCACAGTCTCCGCAGCGCTGGTTCGATCCCCGGTCACCAGGTGAGGGTCCCACATGGCGCGCAGACCTCTCCTGCCGCCCGCTGCTCCCCTCAGCAGTGTACTTCGGTCCTTCTGCCTGCTCTGCTCCCCACTCTGGCTTTGGTGAATTCTCTCACCCTCCCGCGCTTCTGACTGTACCCAGTGCTTGTATAAATAAATAAATAAATCTTTAAAAAAAAAAATAAGGTGAATCAAGCTGTTGGAAAAGAATTTATATTCAAGAATTCTTTGAGTCCTCCTATTTCCGATGTCTCTACACTTTTGCAAACATTTTTCTTCTTTGCCCCAGTCCTAGCACATACAGACTCTTCCTCTCTAGCCCATTTCACAATTTCTTAGTTCAGTTACTGCTTTTTTTCTTTTTTTTTTTTTTTTTGGTACTATTTGTGGTAAAATGTATGTAACATAAAATTATTCGTATTAGCCAATTTTAAATGTATGATTTGGTCACACTAATCACATTCAAAATGTTGTGCAACCATCAACTCTACCTTTTTCAAAAAGATTCAAAAGCCCAAACAGAAATTCTGTATCCTCTAAGCAATTTCTCCTTTCCCCTCCCCCACAGCTCCTGGTAAGCTGTAGCCTACTTACTCTATGAATTTGCCCATTCTAAATATTTTATATAAGGTCAAATAATATTTGTCCTTTTGTGTCTGGCTTATTTCACTTAGCATATTTTCAAGATCCATCCATATTGTAGCATGTTTTAGTTCTTCATTCCTTTTAATGGTTGAATAATATTCCTTTGTATTTATAGGCTACATTTTGTTTATCCATTCTTCTGTTGACAAACACTTGGGGTTGTTCCACCTTTTACTTATGGGTGTGCAAGTATCTGAGACCCTCCTTTCAATTTTTGAGGGGTATATACTTAGGAGTAGAATTGTTGAATCACATGAGCTAACCACAAGCTGTGGTTACATTTTACATTCCCACCAACAATGTATGAGGGTTCCAGTTTCTCCACATTCTTGCCTACATTTGTTCTTTTCTTTTAAATGATCATCATGCTAGTATGTGTGAAATGGAATCTCATTGTGGTTTTTGTTTGTACTTCCCTAAAACTATTGATGTGGAGCCTCTTTTCACATGCTTATTGGCCATTGTGTGTCTTCTTTAGAGAAAGGTCTATTCAAGTTCTTTGCCCATTTTTTATTTTTTTAAAGATTTATTTATTTATGCATACAAGAGCTGGGGTACAGGCCAGAGATGGGGGGGGGGTGAGAGGATTCAACAGAGACAGAGTGGGGAACAGAACAGGCAGATTGACTGAAACACACTGCTGAGGGGAGCAGCAGGCAAGTCAGGAGAGGTCTGCTGCGCCATGTGTGTAGCTCCCTGGTCAGGGATCAAACTTGTGCTGCAGTGGCTGCGGACAGCCTCATAGGTTGTGTCTTAACCCCTTGCGCCACCAGTGAGGCCCTCTTTGCCCATTGTTTAATTGGATTATTCATTTTGTTGTTGAGTTAGAAGAGTTCTTTATACATTCTAAGTACTAAGTCCTTATCAGATATATGATTTGCCCTTATTTTCTCTCATTCTGTAGGTTGTATTCTCACTTCTTTTTAGTGTCCTTCGATACATGAAACTTTTTAATTTTAAGGAAGTTCAACTTTTCCATTTTCCTTCTTGTTGTTTTTGATTTATTGTTTAAGAAATCATTGCCAAATCCAAGATCATGCAGATTTGACTCTGTTTTCTTGTGTTTCATAGTTTTTCTATTTATATCTGATCCATTTTGAGTTCATTTTTATATATGGAACAAGATACAGGTCTAACTTCATTCAAATGCTCTTCATGTGGATATTTAATTTTTCCAATATCATTTGTACTGTTGAATGGCCCTGACACTCATGCCAAAAATCAGTTGACAACCAGTCTGACATTTCTTCATTCTTGATTGTATTCTATTAGTCTATATATCTGTTCCTATAATAGTACCACATTGTTTTGATTACTGTAGCTTTGAATAAAATTTGAAATCAGGAAGTGTGAGTCCTCTAACTGTTCTTTCTCAAGATTGCTGGAGTTATTCAGGTCCTTGAAATTTCCTATGAATTTTAGGATGAGTTTTTCCATTTCTCTAAAAACATACCATTGTTAGATTACTAATTTGAGATCTTCTTTTCTGCTGTAGGTGTTTACAGCAATATATTTCCCCTGAACACTGCTGTCACTGCACCCTTCAGGTTTTGCTTTGTTGTTTTTATTTTCATTTCCCTTAAGATATTTTCTAATTTCACTTACAGTTTTTTCTTTGCTCTGTTGGCTGCTTAACAGTGGCTTCTATAATTTCCACATATTTGTAATTTTTTTTTCAGATTTCCTGCTGTTATTGATTTCTAGTTTATGTCATTGTGGGCAGAAAAGATTCTTTGTAAGATTTAATTCTTTTAAAGTTTATTTAGATTTGTTTTGTGGTTTAAAATATGACCGAATCTGGAGAATGTTCTATGTGCACTTGAGAAGAATATATACTCAGCCTTTGGGTAGATGCTCATTTTGTTTATAAATAAAAGAATCCTTCTCATTTTTTATGTATTTACTCTACATTGAGGCAGTACTTTAACACTTACCCAGGTTATTTACAATTCTGCCTCAGCCTTTACTTCCTGCTTTCACTGAGCCTATAAATCAACCAGTGTGAAAGCTCAAGATCCTCCTTCATCACTTCTGAGCTTGCATCCTGTTCTGGGCATGCACTTGACTTTCTAAATTCTTCAGTCCATGTGAGCACTTCTAAATGTTCTAATTTCCCAAAGAAACTCTCTCCCCAGATTTTCCTCCCAGGCTCTGTGACGTTTATTTTATGTCCTAACAGTCCTTTGCCCAGACAGCTATGGGTTTTTCATTTGCCTTACAATGTTTTCCAGCACTACCCACGGCTTTTCCATCCTGTGTAAATTCCAAATTAGGTGAAAAAAGATAAGTGCCCGTGTCAATCCTTTAGGTAGCCCCAGACAGGTTAGAACAGACAAATGCAAGAATTTGCAAATCAGGTCTAGAGGGACAACCTCACACACTGACAAAGAGGCTGCTCTCTTCAAAAGCACCACCTAATCCAGGGAGGAGGTAGGGCAAGGGCCAATAAAGATACCATAAATCTTTCTGACCATCTCAAAATTGTCTTTTTCTCAAAGAAAAATACCGGGTTGTCTCACTCATAGTAGGAATCTAGAAAACTTAAATAAGGGACCAGGAAAAAGAATAACTATAAGAAAGAAAATATCAAAATCAACAAACAACTATGAACCAGAGATACTCTATGGGGGGTTTGGGGGTGGGGAAAGGTGGGATTGGGGTCAAAATAAGGGGGTTGTAATTGTATGGGGAATATAAAAATATAATTTAAATAAAAAAATTAAAAATTTTTTTTAAAAAATTGTATTTTTCTCATTTCAACATGCACTCGTTTGCCACCTTTGTCTATTTTCCAGTGTTCTAACAAAATTCTAACAGTTTCTGGTTGTTTTTTCAATATTTCCATGGAGTAATGGGAGTTTACAAATACTGAGGGGAAAATACTTCCCTGTAGAGTTTGTCCACAAATCATATCATCCTATTGGTCACATCTCACTGGTCATCTTGGTTAACCTCTCTCTGTCACTTGTCTCTTGCATACATTCTTGGCAGTGTTGGCAGAAAGATAGCAGATAAGAGGTTAAGCATTAAGCCTTCTGAAGTCCAATTAGTTGCCACTATTTGTGGAGCTCTGTGGCCAAAGTCAACATTGAGTTATTTCACCTTTCTAAGCCTCACTTTACTTGTTGGTAAAATGGGAGAGAAGTCCTACCTTACTGAAGTGAAGTTCCAGTGAAAATGCATGTAGAGCTGTGAACACAATACCTGCAATAGGGCCTCCCTGGAGGCGCAGTGGGTTGAGCACAGTGCTGTGAAGTTTTCTGCAGCCTCTGCAGCACGGGTTCGATCCCACATGGCAGAGCAGAACTCTCCTGCCGCCCACTGCTCCCCTCAGCAGTGTACTTCGGTCCTTCTGCCTGCTCTGTTCCCCACTCTGTCTCTGGTGAATCCTCTCACCCTCCTGAACATCTGGCCTGTACCCCGGTTCTTGTATGCATGAATAAATAAATCTTTAAAAAAAAAATACCTGCAATAGTAAATGCTCATCAAGCATTAGTTCTTGCCCCAGATTGTGCACACAGTCTTCACACCTCTCTCTCAGCCTTCCATTCTTTCTCAGAAGTCACTCTGATGTGACTATGGCAGTGCTTTGATGACAGGGATGATGCTCTGAGGATGTGTTCCTATGCCAATGTTACCTCAATAAAGGAAAAATTAGCAAACAAACAGTGATT